GATTTCCTGCATGTAGATTGCCAGGCCTTTCTTCCCAGGCTCCTCTGGGTAGATTCAAACCTCCAACCTCCTGTTAACCTTTTGCCTCACTCAGGGACTCCTGCTGATTCATTACTACCACCTAATCCTCAGATCCCATTCAGTTGTGCCAGTTGTTCCAATAATGTCTTCTTTTTAATATTTTATTGAGTTTTTTGTGGAAGTTTGCACAGCAAATTAGGTTCCCATTTAACAATTTCTACACGTTGTTCAGTGACATTGGTTACATTTTCCACATTCCATCAACATTCTCATTATTTCTGTTCTGGTTATTCCATTTCCATTATTCTTGCTTCCCTGCTGTCCCTGACCTTCTCATCTTTGTTTTAGGGTAAATGTTGACTGTTTGGTCTCAAATAGATGATGATGATGATTATATAGAACAAGTACAGCACTCAAGGGTGGTTGTTTATGAGCCAATCTGTTATTTAGTTGAAAAGTGATCTCTGGGAGTAGTTTCAGTACAAAGTTTAAAACGTATCTTACGGCGATAGTCTCTGGGGTTCCCCAGGTCTCTACTGGTCCGGTGAATCTGCCTTTTTTTTTTTTTTTTTAAGACTTTGAGTTTTGTTCTATGTTTTTCTCCATTCTATCTGAGACCATCTATTGTGGCCCTGGTCAGAATGGTCGGTAGTGGTAACCAGGCACCATTTAGCTCTTCTGGTCTCTGGAGAGCTGAGGCTGTGGTTCATGTAGTCAATTAATCCTGTAGACTGGTTTCCTCTTCAAGTCTTTGGTTTCCTTCTTTCTCTTTTGCTCCAGATGGGTAAAGACCAATAGTTATATCTTAGATGGCCACTTGCAAGCTTTTAACACCCCAGATGCTTCTCATCAAACTAGGATGTAGAACATAAGCTTTACAGACTAGGTTGTGCCAGTGGACCAAAATGTCCCACAAGACTGTGGTCCTACGCCTTCAAATCCAGTAAACCAATCTTGAGAGGTGTTTGGTAGTATCCGTGAGTGTGCTCCCTATGTGCTTTATCATATGTATGAATATATGTGCAGTGCTCAAAAATGTGTATAGATATGCCTACAGATACGCCTGCTGCATTTTTACACCAATAATGCACTTTCTCTATGCTCGTTTGCCAACCATGCCATCCCTCTGTGAGGTATTTTCATAAGTTGGCTATGCTAATTTTTTTTTTACAGCAATATACGTAACAAAAAATTGGCATAGTGGCAGTTACAAAAATATCTTGCAGGGGAGGGTGCAACAAATGTAGAAGGCACGTGTTAATCGGCATAAAAATACGGTATAAATGCTTATGTATATACACACATATACCTTCTTGTACACATATACGCATACATAACCACTCACACATTTTTTGGTGGTTACTGCTGTTGCTGCAAAATTGTGTTTACGTCATAGCATTTACCAGTAATGTACCTTATTCTTGTGTATTTCTTAGTGTCATCCTTTATCCTGGTTGTGTTCACCTCACCGACATCCAGTGTTGCCTTTCCATCCCCCATACAAGTGTTTACTGTCCAGAGTGATTCCCTCCCCACCGCCCCCCTGGTAACCACCAGAGAACGCTGATTTCTAGGAGTGTACCTATTTTTGTCATGCTTCTTCCTTTACGGTCACTGGGTGCTGCTGCCATTGCTGCACTGTATTTGCTCCACCACCTCTGCTGATTTCTCTCCAGCTGCTGCTCCTGCCATCCGCACCACTGAAGCACCACCAGTAGCATCTTCTTTTTCACCCAAACTCCCAACACTTCACGTTATGTGGAAGCTGGGCTGCAAAAATGAAAACTTTAAAAAGCAAAACAAAAAATCCTGAAGTTTTTTTTTTTTTTCCATAAAATCGTTTTGGCTTCAGAAGTTCCACATATCAAAGTCTGTGTTGTACACCATACATGCCCAATATGCCCAAATACAAGACAAACCTGAACACGAGGGGAGTTGCATTTTCCCAAACAGAATATCAAAAAAGTTACTTAACTAATTTGGGAAACTCTGGTGGCATAGCAGGTAAGAGTCCAGCTACTAACCAAAAGGTCGGCAGCTTGAAATCCACCAGGTGTTCCTTGGAAACCCTATGGAGCAGTTCTACTCTGTCCTACAGGGTCGCTATGAGTCGGAATTGACTTGACAGCAATGGGTTTTTGTTTTTTGACTAATTTGAACAGGTTTATAAACTCTTAGATGTAAAATTCACGTCTACCTGTCATAGCTTATTAAACACACGTTAAAATATTTTAAATATATCAGCTTACAAATGTTAATTATTCCACTGAGTTTTCATAAAATAATTTTATTTAAACTCTTCACTCGAATGTTCAAAATCTGTGACATCTACAGCCACTTCTTGAAGCATCACAACCATGTCCACTTCTAAAATAAAACATTATTTGAATCTATGGATAATACGGTCACTGAAAGTTTTATCACCCCAAGTAAGTATCTGCTGTATAACATTAGGACTTTTTTCTTCTTCATGCAGGAGTATATTAATGATCACCACAGCATAATTATTTAATGCATTTTAATGTAAATGTTACTGAAGCTTAACACATATGGAAAAGTGCATAAATCTTACAGGTACAATCTGATGAATTTTCAAAGAGAACATACTCATGTAACCAGCACCCAGGTGAAGATAGAGCATCACCAGTATCCCAGAATCCCTCTGATGCCCTCCTCCAATCACCACTACCCCAGAGACCCTTCAATTACTTCTCTCTTGGGCCAATCCTGCTTGCTATGGATAACACCACCCTGACTTTTAATGCCATGGATGAGTTTTGCTTGGTTTGGAACTTTATATAAAATAGTACAAGATGATTCACAGTATATACTTTTAGTATCTGGATTCTTCCACTCAGTATTGTTTGAAGATTCATCAATGTTGCTATCTAGTTGTAGTTGTATTCTCATTAATGTAGAATATTCTACTATACAAATTTATTTACCCATTCTACTGTAGATGGCCATTGGGTTGTTTTTAGATTTTGGCTATTATGAATAACACTGCTATGAACATTCTCGTACAGGCTTTTTGAACATTTGCACTTGCTTCTGTTGGGTATACCTTAGAGTGAAATTGTTGGGTAGGGGTTCAGCCTTAGCAAACACTGCCTGTTTACCCTCCCGTCAGCAGTATGATCGTTCAGGTTACCATGCAGCCTTGTCAACACTTGGTATTGTCTGCTGATTTAGCTCTAGTCATTCAGGTGGGTGTGCAGTGGCCTTTCATGGTAGTTTTTACTTGCATTTCCCTAAACTTGTGAGGTTAGGCACATTTTCATGCGTTTATTGGGTTATTTATATACCCTATTTTGTGAAACGTCCATTCAAGTTTTTTGCCCATTTTTCTGTTGACTTAATTTGTAATTCATATATCCCAGATACAAGCTCTTTGTCAGATGTATGCACTACAAATCTCTATACTCACTTTGTAGCTTGCCTTTTTACTCTTAGTGCTGGCTTTACTATATTATACTATTTCTTAAAGTGATTTTTTACTTTTTTTTTTTTTTTTTTTTACAACGTCCAACATAACGGAGGAAATTGTCAAATTTCTTTGCCTCCTTTTATAACCAATTCTATCAAGTGACTTCTAGGAGCATCCAAAACTAGCACTGGGGTCAGTTTTAGGTTGTTGTTCCATACAAAGTTAAGATGGTTCCTTACAACAGGAAACTTTGAGGGCTTTTTTGGGGGGGGGTTGGGGAGGAGGAACTCACCTCATATTCAGGCACATGTAAGAATCACTCTCGCCTGACCAACATTTGCAGCACATGAAAAAGCCAGCTCAGGTTCATGGGCTTCCTATCTACCTTTAGTGGTGACTTCTGTGTTGTACTGAAGGCCTCTGTCTTTATTACAATCATTATTGGCTATGTGTTTTGTATGTCAGCAATTAATCATTAAATGTTTATTTTACATTTACAATGGAGGAAGGCAAAGCAACTATTTTCTTACACTTGTGATGGCTTTTTGATGTACTAACTTGGTAAACCAGAGTCCTGTTATTCAAACGCTAATCTAGGTGTCACTAGGAAGAGAGTATGCAGATGTGATTATCCTGGATAATCTGGGTAGGCATCATTTAATCAGTCAAAAACCAAAACCCAGTTGCCATCAAGTCGATTCTGACTCCTGGCAACCCTATGCATGTCAGATTAGAACTGTGCTCCATAAGGTTTTCAATGGTTATGATCTCTTGGAAGTAGACTGCCAGGCCTTTCTTCCAAGGTGCCTCTGGGTGGACTCAAACCTCCAATCTCTTGGTTAGTAGTCAAGTGCTTAAACATTTGTGCCACCCAGGGACTCCTTATGTAATCAGTTAGGTCTTAAAAGCAGGGCTGAGGCTTCCCTAAGAGAAAAAAATTCTGCTTGTGGACAAGAGCTTTGGCCCATGCCCATGGAGTTCCATCCAGTTTGTGATCTTTTCCTTCTGACTGTGTGGCGACAACAGCTTCAGCCTGTACCTGTGGTTTCCAGCCTGCCTGCCCACCCTATAAATTCTGAACTTGCTTAGCCAGTCCCCACAATTGCATAAGCCAAATACATCTCTCTGTATTTCTTCTACCAGTTCTGTTTCTCTGACTGAAACCTGAGTGATACAATCTTAGGCAACACAAGTATCTTTCTTTACAAAGGTATTATCAACAACATGCAAAATATTCATGAATTAAATGATCCTTATTAGCATGCACAAAACTAGACTAGAAACATTTTGTGTGGGATGCTGTCTATGTAGGTTATTACAGGGCTCAATTCTTGATTCTCATATTAAAATACAGCCATTTTTTACCATTAATTTTTGTATTTTTTAGTACTATCTATAGGAGCCCTGGTGGTGCAGTGGTTAAGTGCTCAGCTGCTAACAGAAAGGTTGGCAGTTTGAACCCAGCAGCCACTCTGCAGGAGAAAGATGCAGCAGTCTGCTCTGGTAAAGATTACAGCTTTGGAAGCCTATGGAGAAGTTCTACTCTGTCACATGGGGTCATTAGGCGTCGGAACTGACTTGACAGCAGTGAGTCTAATCTTTACAAAAGCAGTTCTAACTGCCACCCTTTCGGTTAGCAGCCAAGCCCTTAACTGTCTGTGCCACCTGGGCTCCTTTTCAGAGGCTTAACACACCCAAAACTAAGGTTTACAGATCTGCTTGGCTCAATGGATAAGAAAGATCAACAGCCTGGGCTGAAGAAATATGGCTTCTAATCTTAGCTGTTCCACAAATTAGATGTGTGATAATGGAGAACTCTCTTAACTTTTCTGAGCCCAATTCTTTATTCAATAGCTAACAAACAGTTACTAAATCCCTGTTAGAGGCCATACACTTTGCTAGACACCAGAGCTCTAACAATGAACAAGGCCAAGACAGTCCCTGCCCTCAGAAGCTTAATGTCTAGACAGGTGAGGGGCTTGGGCTAAACTACTGTTAAGTCCTCTGGTCCAGCGTTACTATGGGACTACACTCATTTTCTATGACCTGAGGTCAATGTAACAAGGATTTCCAAATGTCCTAAAAAAAGCTGTAAAGTATTAAAGATTTCCCACGTGAACCCTGATAAAATAATATTTTAAATCAGAAGATTTTATGTAAGGCAGTCTCCGGGTTACGAATGAGATCTAAGCTTGTCTTTAAGTCAAATTTGTAGGTAAGTCTGAACAGGTACATACGATTCTTATTTAGCATCAGTTAGTCAAATGTTTGTCTTAGTAGACCGTATATATTTTACCTTTCTATACATATAAAACACTTAACTACTTCTAAGCTGAGCAACGTTTTCACCAGCATCACAAAGTAATGTGTGCATTTATTATTACAAACCATTGCGTTAAACTCAAATTTTAATAGGCTTTATGGTTGTATGAGTTGTCTGTAAGTCAGACGTTCTAACCTGGTAACCCGAGGACTGCCTGTATTTATTCTGGTGATTCAGTTACAGCATAAAGCCCTCTCAGCATTATGAAGTCCAGTATTTTGAGATCTTTTTTTCTGCAAGTCAGTTTATTAAAACTTCTATAATTCTGAAGAGACTGTAGTAGCTGAAGTTTTTCACGCATTCAGGTATTTTGCATGATGTCTGATGTGATCAGCAATAAAGGTTGCAATGAAGTAGTAGCTATGATCATAACCCT